CTTTTCTTCAAAAATGTAGATGCCTAATCAATTACAGCACATACCTGGAATTCTTTTCTGTAATATTCCTAAATATTTTCATATAATTTCTTTTGTTCTATCTTCTGTTTTTCTCGTTGCACTGTACCAGGTATGTAAACAATTGCCTGTATCTACTCCATTTTTAAAAATATTATTGCCCTCCTATCAGAAAAAGGCTTATTATGTCTTATTAAACTGTAAAAACTATTAAAAACTTTTATGATATTATCAATATTTTTATTATTTAGTTTATACACTAAATTAGAAATTGAACAGTTGATTCTTTTCACAAATCTTGGATCTTATTAGAGTCTTTAGAAAAATACTGTTTTCTCTTTTCTTCCTTTCTTTTCTTTCTTTCTTTCTTTCTTTTCTTTCTTTCTTTCTTTCTTTTCTTTCTTTCTTTCAGGAAAGTCTAGTTTTATTAGTACCATTTGGGATTACTAAATATGCCCTCCATTCCCTGGACCCATGGACATGCTTTTCTGCTGTCACTCCGAAATGCTAAACTATCAAATCATCCTTACATCCTAATTTGCCTTCTTTTATTTCAAAGCATTTTCAATGAACATGAGGATCTTTCTGAGTCAGTGTTTTTGTCTTCTTTGGGTATAGACACAAAAGTGGAATTACTGGATCATATGTAGTTCTATTTTTAATATTTTGGGGAAACATTCATACTGTTTTCCATAATAGCTACACCAGTTTACATTCCCATAAACAGTGCACAATGGTTCCCTTTTCTCCACACCCTTACCAACACTTGTTACCTCTTGTGTTTTTTTAAAATGGCCATTCTAAAGGTGTGAAAGGACATCTCATCGTGGTTTTGATTTGCGTTTCCAATGATTAAAGACATTAAGCATCTTTTCATGTATCTGTTGGCCATCTGTAAGTCTTTTTGGAAAAAAAATTTATTCAGAACTTCTGCCCATTTTTAAGTTGGATTGGTTACTATTTTATCAGTTCTTTATATATTTTGGATATTAGCCCTTATCAGATACATGATTTGCAAATATTTTCTCCTATTCAGTAGGATGCATTTTCATTTTGTTGATGGTTTCCTGTGTTTTGCAAAAGCTTTTTAGTATGATGTAGTTCCACTTATTTATTTCTGCTATTGTTGCTTTTGCTTTGGGTATCAGAATAAAAAAAATACTGCCAAGATATATGTCAGGGAGCTTACCACCTAAGTTTTCTTCTAGGAGTTTTATGGTTTCAGATCCATTTTGAATTAATTTTTATGTATGGAGTAAAATAGTGGTTGAGTTTCATTCTTCCACATAAGGCTGTCCAGTTTTCCCAGCACCATTTATTGAAGAGACTGTCCTTCACTTATTATGTATTCTTGGGGCGCCTGGGTGGCGCAGTCGGTTAAGCGTCCGACTTCAGCCAGGTCACGATCTCGCGGTCCGGTCCGTGAGTTCGAGCCCCGCGTCAGGCTCTGGGCTGATGGCTCAGAGCCTGGAGCCTGTTTCCGATTCTGTGTCTCCCTCTCTCTCTGCCCCTCCCCCGTTCATGCTCTGTCTCTCTCTGTCTCAAAAATAAATAAACGTTAAAAAAATTTAAAAAAAAATATGTATTCTTGAGTCTTTTGTTGTACATTTATTGGGTTTATTCTTGGACTCTCTATTCCATTCTATGTGTCTGTTTTTATACCATGCTGTTTTAATTATTGTAGCTTTATAAATACAGTTTAAAATCAGGTTGCATGATACCTGCAGCTTTCTTCTTTCTCAATATTGCTTTGGCTACTCGGAGTTTCTCGTGGTTCCATACAAATTTTAGGATTATGTATTATATTAAGAAATGCCAGGGGCACCTGGGTGGCTCGGTCAGTTAAGCGTCAGACTTCGGCTCAGGTCATGATCTCACAGTCCGTGAGTTCGAGCCCTGCATCGGGCTCTGTGCTGACAGCTCAGAGCCTGGAGCCTGTTTCAGATTCTGTGTCTCCCTCTCTCTCTGCCCCTCCCCTGTTCATGCTCTGCCTTTCTCTGTCTCAAAAATAAATAAACGTTAAAAAAATTTTTTAAAAAAAGAAATGCCATTGAAATTTTAATAGGGATTGCATTGAAACTATAGATTGCATTGGATAGTATGAACGTTTTAACAATATTGGTTCTTCCAATCCACAAGCAAAGAATATCTTTCCATTTCTGTCTTCTTGAATTTCTTTCATTAATGTCTTATAGTTTTCAATATACAGGTCTTTTGCCTCCTTGGTTAAAATTATTCCTAGGTTTTTTATTCTTTTTGATGAAATTGTACATGGTATTATTTCCCTGATACTGTATTATCAGTGTTGAGAAACAACAGATTTTTGTGTATTGATTTTGTACCAACAACTTTATTGAATTCATTTATTAGTCTCAGTTTTTTTTTTGATGGAGTCTTTGGCAGGATTTTAAACTAAAATACTTTGCTTTTTGGCCTATACCTATACTTTGTGTGACTTGCTATTTCTTGAAAATCCATTGGTTTGGTTCACTCTTTTTCCAACAATATTTCACAAAATCAGACTATGAATAAATGCTTAATTACAATTTTATTCAGAAAAAAAAAAAAAAAGACACATCATTGTCAAAGAAGTGTAGTTCAGGAACACCTGGGTAGCTCAGTTGGTTGGGCATCATACTCTTGGTCCCAGCTCCGGTCATGGTCTCACGGTTCATGGGTTTGAGCCCCACACCAAGGCTCCTCACTGAGAGTGCAGAGCCTGCTTGGGATTCTCTCTGCCTCTCCCCCTCCCCGCCCCCCCCCTTAACATGTGCACCCACTCCCTCTCTCAAAACAAATAAACTTAAAAAAAAGTGAGGTTCAGACATGGATGTTGGTTGATATTTTCATTTAAGTTAACCAGTAAGATAAAAAAAAAAGTAAAATAGTGAAGAAGTGTATTGGAATTTCACTCATTTATCAATGACATGAGCAACTTGTTTGCTGAATTGGATGATAGTTTTTGAATACTGAAAGACTACTTCAATTTTTTGTGCTATTCACAATGTCAAGGCCAGGAATGTGATACATGTAAAGTTTAATTCTGCATTATCAACATTTTCTCTACAAGACTACTGACTGTTTTTGTAAATGAAGCTTTACTGGAACATAGCCACATCCATTTTTTTGAGAGGGAGAGAGAGCAAGCGTGCACAAGTGGAGGGAGAGGGAGAGAGAGGATCTTAATTAAGCAGGCTCCAAGCCCAGCATGGAGCCAGTTGGAGGGCTCGATCTCATCCTGGTGAGATCCGACTGAGCCACCCAGGTGCCCCTGGCCACACCCATTTTTAATGTAAGAGTTGAGTAGTTGTGACAAAGACCATATGTACTAGAAAGCCTAAAACATTTACTTTTTGTTTACAGAAAAAGTTGTAGACACTTGGGCCTAGAAAATCAACAAAACAATAAACTAAACCCTCATTTGTAACTTTTGCCAATTTCTGCAATGCAAATGTTCCTATCGAAGCCAATTTCAAACTACAAATGCGACCTTTCTGAACAGAGCTGGGAAGAGATGCATACATTCCCATCCGTAAGATACAACAGACAAATGCTCTCAGAGGAAGAGTTATTGGTAAAAGTAAGTTGTAAAAAAGTGACGAGTTTTGAGTATTTATTACCTGATTTTAACGTATTTAATTGTAAATTTACATAATTTGATTTTTAACAGTGGTTGAGCTTAACAACTGGCTCATAAAATCCCCCCAAATTTAGCAATGAGCCTTGCAAACTAGTACAAGTCAACTGTGGCGTACTACTAGCTCTGTTTTCAAAGGGGCACTAAGGGAGGGGTTCAGAGTAATTTGCCTAGTTGTTAAGTGGCTGTGTCGAGATTCAAATGTAGGTCTAAAACTCTGACCCCAGTTAGGCTTCATAGCCTTCTTAGCGGAGAATAAGGGCCTTTATTGGCTTTTTTTTTTTTTTTTAATTGGGTGTGTGTCTGTGACATATATTGAGGGAACTAAACCTGCAAGGGAATGCATCTTCTGGAGTACCATCCTATATTGATATGCATACTCTTTTACATTCCCATGTCGCCGGCCAATTTTGCTAGTCTTGATGCTTGCTACCCTATTCAGAAATCAGTCTAGCCTGGGTATTTGAAGGAAGAAGGGAACAACGGATTGGTCCATGTATCATCTGCTGTTGGAAATTCCTCATTAGGTATTTCTCTTAACTGCTTTAGGAAGTGTAAGTATAGGCATTTAGTAACCCAAGCCCCTTGTAGCACTTATCAAGCTACGTGAGTTCCAAAAAACTTCAGACAACTTGTGATCTGAAACCTTTGCAGTGCAGGAAAAGGAAGGACTCTATCAGAGGCACTCACGCAGCCTCACGGAACTGGGCCAAGAATCTGGGGTCAGGATGGCGTACTGGTAGGCCTCTTGACGTACTCAATCTTTCACAGAGCTCCAATGCTAAGCGAAGGAATAATAACTGTTCGAGCTGTTTGAAGAACTTGATCCGCCCCATCCAGCCCCTTCATATTTACACAGCCTTGGTGAGGTGAAGCGACTTGATGAACGTCAAGCGGTAGAATCTGGATTAATTTATAGCTCTTTCCACTACACCACGCCACCTCCTCTAAATCACTCGCCCTGCACAAAACTTACCCCTGAAAGCACCAGGAACCTGGCTGGGGACTGGCCTACAGTTGAACCTACGTCAAACCTCCCAGTCGCTCCGGAGTCAAACTGCGGTAACTCTGGGTCAGCGTTAAGACCAAAGCAGAGAAACGCAAAGCTCAAGGCTACAAAAGGTAGGCGCACCCCTCACTGATAGGCGCGGAGACTTAGACTTTGCCTCTAGAAAAGCAGCCACGCCTCCCAAGACGCCAACACAGCGCGCCGCGGAGCCACGCGAGCGGCCCAGAAGGCAGGGCACGCAGTCGGCGACGCGCACGCCCGCCCCGAGGCCGCACGGGAGACCGGCGGGCGTGCGCGCCCCCGCGGCAGTGGGCGGGGTGGGGCGGGGCTCGGAGCCGAACCGGGGCGGGGCCGCAGAAGCTGTAGGTGTTGCAGCTGGGTCGCGACAGGTGCGCAAGGCAAAGTGCCTGGGACCCGTAGCCCCGCTGGTAGCAGCACAGAGGAAAGACCGCCTTCAGCCAGGTAAGGGCCTTCTCTGTCCACATCTTGCACGGCCAAAGAGTGCGCGAGACCCCGGCTTCCCTCCACAGTCTCCTTCTCCAGCGACTTCTGGGGCCAGGGGTAGCACCAGGAGCTTGAACCCCTTCCCCCCACCCCCGCCGAGAGAGAGAGCGCGTAGAGGAACCGCTGATCCTCTTGCTCTTTTCCTCATGTCTAGGTACTGCGCTGGTCTTGGGAGTAATTATGTAGGGCCGAATCTTTGCTGCCTGAGGGCCGGAGCTGTTAGGACCACCTCTTCCATCGGGAAGACTCCTTTCTAACTATATACAGTTTTGGTGTGGTGGAGGAAGGCGGCAGTTCATCAAAATTCCAAATAGTCTCCTAGGGAAATATTCTGATATTCAACTGCTTTTTTCCCTTCTTCATTTAAAGCCATTCCCTCTGTCTTCGATTTTTCCCCATTCCATGCTGCCTACTGAACTCTAAGACACTTACACCCCTTTGAGGCATGTTGAGAATATAGCAGTCCTTGCAGCTGAGTGTGTCATCCCCGAATCGCTGTCGCGTATATATCACTGACACCTGTCACCAATATAGGTAGGTGTTAATATAAGGTAACTGTACACCCCTGGCTACACCTACTAAGCTTGAAGTTGTACGTGCTAGGAGCCAACCATCTGGCGTCCTTCCTTGCCTCCTTACTGGTGCTTAGAACGAGTTTAGCTGATCCTAGTGAGAGATATTTGAACTACTATTGTCTTTCACCTAATTCCCGCTTTCAAAAGTCTGCCTAATCCAGATGGTTCTACTGACTTGGCTCCTCAAGTTAGTGAAAGTACTTAGGGAGTTATCAGCCTTGAGACAATACCCCTTTGGGGGAGAGGTCTTCTTTTGCATTATTCTTTCTTTTGCTGTTGATTTAAGTGGTTAAACACAATACTTTTTATCCCCATAGTTATTAATACTATTCACAAGTGATAAATATTTTAGAAACCATAAAATAACACTTTCTTCTGAGGTCTGATGGAGACACAAAAGAAGATGACCTTCAACAAACATTTTCTAAGTTTCTGTGGAGTAATAACCCGGCTATGGGATGATTGTCTTAGGTAGACCTCCGAAAAGGTATAGAATTGGCAGGAAAGAAGGTTAAAAAAAAAAAAAGAGTTGTGTCCACATCTATTTCCTTGTTTTGTATCGACGGAGCGATACATAACATGGTATTAAATAATTTAGGAATTTATTTATTTCATTTTTTGGACAAAACAGTTACTGAGTGCCTCGTTTTGTCAGTTATAGTATGGATTCAAAGTTCCAAACATCCTCAAACATTAAAAAAAAAAAGAAAAAAGAAGAAAAGAAAAAACTTTGGGCGCCTGGGTGGCTCAGTCGGTTAAGAGTCCGACTTGGACTCAGGTCATGATCTAACGGTTCGTGAGTTCGAGCCCCGCATCAGGCTCCATACTGACAGCTCGGAGCCTGGAGCCTGCTTCAGATTCTGTGTCCCCCTCTGTCTCCGCCCCACCCCTGCTTGTGCTCTGTCTTCCGTGCTCTCTTTCAAAAATGAGCAAACATTAAAAAAAAAAAAGTTCTGAACATCCCTACTCTAAAAAAGCTTAGTTAAAATCAAATGAGTTAGGCAGAATCAATAGATAAAACTTACAGTTTTGGTGAAATCAGTGCTATGCTAGAGATGAGGCCAGGGTGCTATGTCCCTCTTCTACTTTTCCTTATAAACAAAATAAACAACACAAAAAACTTTGAGTATTAGTGAATTATTTTCCTCAGACATTTGTATTGCGTATATGTCCTACCTGGTGTTCTGCCAACATTATGGCCTTTTGAAGATGGGATTAAGACTTGTCCCGAATTCTATGGTAGTTCATTAATGGTTGGTGGAGCTGTTTTTCACTGTTCTGTATTGGGCCTCGAAGTGTTGTTATCATGTAGTCGCTGAACTGTAGAACTTCTGGGAATAGAATAGTGTATTGGCAACCTTAGCAAAATAGTGCCGTTTTGTAAAATTGCTTCATTGTGTAACTTTAACTTGGTACAGTCCAGTTTTGTTCCAGACTCTGGTTAAAAGTGGGCCAAATTTCAACCTTCTAATAATTCTAAGAAGAGAAAGCTTCAGAAGTGAAAATATTTCTATTAACAGTGCATCATGATGACAGGATATTTTTTTCTTGCTAAGGTGCCTTCAAAATGTCTCTTCTTTTCTTTCTTTCTTTCTTTCTTTCTTTCTTTCTTTCTTTCTTTCTTTCT